CCTGACAACATCTGACAAATCTGTGCTCCAGATCTAGCTGAACTCTTGGCCAAGCTGTTCCAGTACAGCTACAACATTGGCATTGACCCAACGATGGGGAGAATTACCCAGTTATGTTTCGTATGTGAAAAGCAAGGCAAATCCAACTTGGCCAATTATGTCCCCATCAATCTACTCTCAATCATTAGCAAAGTGATGCAGGTGTCTTTGGTAGCGCAGCACTTACACAGCAATGACCTGTTCTGTCAGGACCACTGCACTCAGAACCTCATTACAGTCATGAACAAAAGAGCTAAATTCCAGAGTTGACGCGAGAGTGATTGCCCTTGACATCAAGGCTGTAGTTGGCTGAGTGTGGCATCAAGGAGCCCTAACAAAACAAGGGTCCACGGAAATCAGAAATTCTGAATGAGCATGAGAAATGTTTTGGTTGTTGGAGGCCAATCATCTCAGCCCCATGACTTCTCTGTTGGAATTCTCCCAAGCAGTGACCTAGGCTGAAACGTCTGGACCCTGCAGGTCTGGCAATATCTGTGGAGAGAAAGCAGGGTCAATATTTTGGGTCCGGTGACCCTTCTTCAAAACTGATTGTAGCCGGGAAAAGATGGTATAAATGCTGAAAACAGGAGTTGGGTTGGGATGGAGGGGGTGGTAAGGGAGTAAACAATAGGTGGAGATGGAGACCAGAGAGAGACGGAGAGAACAGCAGTTGGGTAGACAAAGGGATGGACAGTTCTGAGCCATGGAGAAAGAAAAAAAGTGATAATAAAGAGCATTAGTGGGTGACAGTGGCTTCTTTCATCGCAGCCAGCCCAATACGTTTGCATAGCCAGGGTTGTGGAGATGGGTAAAGGATACGAAAGGAGGTGTTCAGGCCCTAAAATCATTGAACTCGATTTTGATTGGTGTTCCACGTTTTTGTTGTTTTTTTTCTGAAATTTCTTCACTTGCTTCAGCAATGATCTTCCCTTCATCACAGTTTCAGAAATGTGGATTTTTGCTGATGATTACACAATGTTCAGTACCATTTGCAACTACTCAGACTCTGAAGCAGCCTGTGACTGGATAAAACAAGAGTTTGACAACATTCATGATTGGCGCAAGAAGTAACATTCAATGTGAGTATTTCCAATAGGAGAGAATTTGACCACGTCTCCCGACATTTAACAGGGTTATTGTCAATCATTTCCCCACCATCAGCATCCTGGTGAAATTGAATTGACCCGGCCATATAAATAGATGGCTGAAAGAGGCTGGGAAATTTGTGGCATCTAACTCACCTCCGGATTTCCCACAGTCTTCCTTCCATCGGCAAATACAAGTCAGAAGTGCAATGTAATACTGTGCACTCAACTGGAAGAGTGCGATTCTAGTGACACTCAAGAGGCTCAATAACATGCTGCTTGATCAGTGGCATCCCATCCACCATCTTAAACAACTGACTTCCTCCATCACTGGCACCAGTATGGACCATATATAAGATGCATTGCAGTAATGTTCCTGAGCTGTCCTGATAGACTATTTCAGACTCTGCGATCCCTACCATCTACAGGGGCTGTAGACGCGTGAGAACAACACCACTTTAAAGTTCACCTCCAAGTTACACACCACCCTGACTTTGAGCAATACCACTAATACTTCTTTGCAACTGGATCAAAATTGTGGAACTCACTCCCTAACATCTAATGGGTGTACCTACACCACATAGACAGCAGTGGTTCATGCACTTTGCTTAGGAAAACTTTCTCTAGGACAATTAGAAATGGGGAATAAATGCTGGTTTCTGATCACGTTCCTATTGTCTGAATAAATACTTTTAAAAATTTGGATCATTCACCTAACTTCATCTTATATTGTTATGACTGGGGATCATTTATAATTTGATCTGACAGGAATTTTTGTCATGAATTATGCATTTCCGATTGGAAGTCGAGTTCAGGATTCTTGAAGGTTAATCCTGAAAGTTGCACTTTCTTTGCTGTTAACTCGTGAGAGGAAGACTGCCTGATGTTGTGAGACAAAAAGGAGATTGGTAAATTAATGAGTTCACCCGCAGAGTTAACGATCCAACCATGGAAACTGTCATCCGTAACCGTCTGGGACAGCAGATAATTTGTTATCTCATTTCAGACTTCCAGTAGGCATTCAAACATGAGATGGTTAGAGAAACTCTGTTCATGCATACAAAGCATGATGTAATGGGTGAACAATATGGAGTTTTCTGGTTGGACCCCACATATAGGAAGGTGATAGCTGGGTAAAATGTGCACTGTTTTGGCCAAGTTACAGACCCAAGTCAAGGGTCAAAATTCATAGATTTTCTGTTGAGGGGTTGCAGGAGGAAATAAGACACCATATGAAACATATGAAATCTGTTGCAAATGACAAAGCCTTGCATGGTCATTGCTACAACAAGTTGTCAGATTTCAACCTTGGCTGCCCAGAAACAGAACAAATATATAGGGTACAAATAAGACAGCTTAGCAGCAGTTGCTTTTTCATAGGTTATGGGAAATATTATGGAGAAAGGAAACGCCCTAATATTGACTGCTCAGCTCAAACATATGCTGTAAACGTTGTGATGTTACATTGATCTCTATCTAGATTACTCATCAGCTCCATCTTTCAGAGGATTGAAAGAATCCATGTGAAGATTCCAGTATATCGTTTGTATGATTTAAAAAAAAAAATTCTATATGCTTAGACACCCTACTTTTTTTAAAAATGAAAACATCCAGGACAAAATGGCCTACCTGTTTGACATCTCAACTGCCATATAAAATATTGACTCCCTTCACTCCTGGCAGCAGTGCATCCATCTATAAGATGTACTGCAGTAATTTGTCATGGCTGTTGACATGGCTGTCATAGGAATATGTGAAAGGAAAAGCCAGCTAGTCCACTGAGCCTCCTCTCCTACAGACTGTGACCTCATCCAGGCCCCATCCCTCCCCGGCTGGAAAAGGCAAAAATAAATCAGTGCAAGGCTTTTAGCCAGTTTAGGGGAAAGAAAAGCTCTAGGAATTTTGTTTTTCCTCAACTTTCATTTGTGATGTGAGCTCGACCACAGTGACACACTTTCTTTAGGAGGTTGTGTTGGCCACCATTGCAAGTTGGTGAGATCTTTCTTGCAAACAGGAAAGACTTGGCTCTTGATATTGAAAGAATTCTCCATTGGCTTGAGAACGTTGGGGGTTAATTGACCAATTATCTTACAATGCCTCTTTTTCCTTGTGTTTAATTATTATTTTCTCTATGATGCAGTGCAGTTGACATTTTTTTTTTCACCAGCACCTAGAGTCATAGAATCATACAGCATGGAAACAGACCCTTTGGTCCAACCTTTCTGCAGATTGAACTCAATGTCATGTATGAGAAAGACATTTGTTTGGAATGCAAAAAGTTAACTTTGTTGTCTATGTTTGAAATTTTAACAAGCTTCACAAAGTAATTTCATTGGAAGCATTTTCTGGAAATTTCCTCAGACTGCCCAAAGAAGATCAGAGTTAGGCAAACTTCACTCCAAGTGAATTAGTGATGTTATGGCTATATTTACATTTGTATTTAGATTGGAAGTGCAGAGCCATACTTCCGTTCTGTACGTCCTTTTGTAGGGTAGAACTGTGGGGGGAAGATAAGCCTTGTCCCCTTTTCACAGCAGTCAGCTGCCATATTCTGAAATGTAAAAGCCCAGAATCGCAGCCAGCCACTTATGACAGGTGCTGTTAAATGATAAGTACATAAGGCATGCGAGAGATTAGGCTGCCAAATGGGCAGGATGCCAGGGTGCCAAATGAGTAAGGGGTAGGGTGCCAGGTGCAAGCTGACAAAGGGGCCAGGTAAGCGATGCAGTGTTTTGGGTAGGTCGTTGTTGGTAGGACCAATCCAACTCAGTGTGTGCAGGGGAAGGTGGGTGTTTTATCGGGGTGATGTGGGTGTGGAGTCCTGGGGATGAGGCCATGGAGGCCCGAGTTGGGGAAGGAATGAGCTCAGATGAAAGGGAGCTGATTCCTTTGTTGGGTGAAGTGGGTTCTGATTGTGGAACAGGGGTGGGCAAGTTGGAGCGGTGAGGAACAGAGATCAGGCTAGGAGCAGGTGAAGGGATGTTAGGTGTATTGCATCCTGGGCTGTCAGGTCACAGTTGGGAGTGCAAATGGACTGGAGACGGTGTAGTTGATTGTGTGTGAAGTAAATATGGTGTCGGTTGAATAGTTACTCAGGGGCTGTTGCATTATGTATTTAATAGTCTAACTTCTCCCGAGTAACTGGTTACTTAATTTCATTGGAACCATTAAAACTCTCCGATTTTAATGAAGATTTTTAGAGGGTTTGAGGCATAGTCAAATTGCCCAGCAGAATCTTCAACTTCCCAGACAATTCCTGCTATGTCTACTATGATGGGGATTCTTCAGGGTCCCCACATTCATCTCCTATTACTGGAATAACGATTGTCTGACCAGTGGAAAATTCAGGCCCCTGTTCTCATGAATGTCTTGAATGGCAATTTTGGAGCTGCACTGTCAGATGCCTAGATGTTAGTCAATTGCCTTACTTTTCACTTTGATAAAACACTTGGGTTGGGAGAAACATCATAGTTAAGTGAAAGCAATGTAAAATGGGGGAATCTAATGTCACCTCTGTTAAGGGTCGCGACCCGAAACGTCAGCTTTCCTGTTCCTCTGATGCTGCTTGGCCTGCTGTGTTCATCCAGCTCTACACCTTGTTATCTCTGTTATTGTCGGAGCAGTTTGGGAAAGATGGTAAAATTGTGATTAATATTAATATTTAGTTATGACATAGTGTATTCTTTTCTATTTTAATTGCATTTATTTCATTAACACTGGTTGTGCTTATTGGTTAACGCCTGACATGTGAAAAGACTTTGTCGTCTGCTTCAGTTAACAAGTTTTGATTGTAATTTTTCATGCTGGATATGCTGTCGGAAGAGCAGAGGAACAAATTTCTTCTCATTGCTATTTTGCAATTTTAATTTCCTCTAGCCCCAGAATGCTACCCAGGAGGATATCATATTCTTCAGAACGCTCAGCGCAGCATTCACTTTGATTCGATTGAGCTACAGCAGTTTGCAATCCAGGACCTGATATGCGATCATTCCCTGACACCGGGATGGTACCGTTTCATGATTGGAGATCAGCCAGCAGAAATGCCAACCAAATGTATTGAAGTTAGTAGTATGTGTAACATTTGTTTTCTAAGCATAGCCTAAACGTAAATGCAATATAGGAAGTGAACTGTAGAAATTTATCCAAACTGTTTGCATTATTTAACCGTTCACGTTTAGTAACTTTGAATGTTGTAGGTGAAACATGGACAGATAGAAAAATCAGTTGGAGAACATTGCCTTCCCATCAGAGAGCCAACTTGTACTTTCATTTATTAATTTAGTTAGGTGCTCAGTTGGCTGAATGGCTGGTTTGTGATGTACAGTCTTGCCAAAGCATGGGTTCAATTCCTGACCTGCTGAGGTTACCTTGAGGGACTCTCCTTCTCATCCTCTCCCTCACCTGAGGCATGGTAACCCTCAGGTTAAACCACCACCAGCCATCTCTGTCTAACGAAAGAGTGGCTATTTGGTGACTCAGTCTTACCTTTTCAATTTGGGAAGATTTTGTTACAGGCATTTGATTTTCCTGTCTGATTTTTCTCTCTTCATTCAATCTTAGCTTACCTCCATCTGGCAGAGTTGAAAGTACATCCTACCAAGCTTCCTGATTCTGTTATCTGGTCCATTTCCAATTCTCGGGATTAGAAAGGGCATCTGGGTATCTTTGGGTCGGCATGGACAAGATGGGCAGAATAGCCCCCTTCTGTGCTGTATCATTTCTATGCTTCTCTTTCAACTGTTTTTTCAACTGTGATGGGAAAGAGGTGACAGTCTCCCAGTTGTATATTTAAGCTGTCTTTGCGTTCCAGCAACAATTTGTCAAAGCTTTCTCGACATGGTTTTGTAGCTTCAGTTTCTTTCAAAAAGACATATACATAATTATAAGGAAGTTATAAACATTTTAACAGATTTACGTTTTAATTAGTCAGCCTGGAAGGTTTTATTTGTGAGGCTTTCAACATTAAATTATGCAGCAAATTATAACAACCACAGTAATAACTTGCATTCATTTAGGGCTTTTAAAATAATAAAAAGTTCCAATGAACTTTGCATGAGCATATTCAGAATCACTTAAGGCACTATAAGGGCGGGTAGAGGTAAGAGGTAAGGAGCATCTTATAAGAGTTGATGAAGCTAGATAAACAGTTGAATGCATGGTCACCACTGATGAGTAAGGAGATCTTGGAAGGTGAGAGGGCTGGAGGAGATTAAGTTTGTGAAGATAATGAGGGGTGAGATCACACAGACATTTGGAAGCTTAAACATTATCTTTTAAATTTGACAAGTCAAGCCAAGCCAGTTTAGGCAGATGAACACATTGGTGCCAAGTGAATGGCATTTAGTGTGAGAGGATATCGATAGCAGAGTTGTGGATGAGTTTAAATTTGTGCCGAGTGAAATGTGGGAGAATGGTCAGAGATTGTTTGAAAAGACCAGCCACATTGAAACAAAGTCAAAAATGAGGTTTTGAGCAGTAGCTGAAATGAAGTAAGGCTTGAGATGGAGCAGTTATGTGGATTGGAAGCTCAATTTGGTGTTAGATGAGATGGCAAGGAAGCAAATGGTCTGCTGTCAGTATGAGAATGGTCTTCCAATAAATTATGTAATCTGACAAAAATTAGACCAAATTATTTATTTATCTATTTATGGAGTTTTGACTCTTCAAAACCCTATGTCAGCAGAAAACTTGTAAAAGTTAGCTGCTTGGATAGAAGTCTTTGGCAGAGTTAATATCTGGACTAGATTAGTAACACTTGCTGATTCCACAATTTCCAATTCAGTAAACATAATCAACAAAATAGAAGATGACCTTCTCTTGTCCTTGTATATTCAATGTCATTGGGAGTTGTGAGGTGGAAATTGCTCTCCAACTTTACGTAAGAATGAGTAAAAAATAAATTTGAATCTGCTTCGTTTGTTAGAGTAGATAGCTTGGACTAGTCTGTGTGACTGCATCTGTGCTCAGTGATTCCAAAACTACGTAGAATGGTTAAAATCTATATAATCTTTAAAAATATGTTATAATAACCTGAGTTGTAAAGCTGTACAACAAAAGACTTTGCGGAATATTAATAAAATTGTCAACCTAATAAATTGAGCATGCCAGTTTTTACTATAGAGCTATAATTTTAGACTTAGTAGATCCTTATTATAGAATCAGTACCATGGAAAACAACATGCTAAATGCTGTTAAGAGATGTGCTGCTGAAGGCTTTTGTCTTGCACTCATCCGAAAAGATGTAAGAATGCCAAATTGCAAAGGCAGCAAAAGTTTATGCTGCATGAGAAAAGGGTGTTGATTAGCTAGTAAGGTGACTTTGATTACTTTTCATTTGTGGAATTGAAATAACCAAGATACTGTCAATGCTTGTGAAACTTAGAACATAATGTCTAACGACAGATATGATTCTGTGATTGAACAACTCTTGCTGAATATTCCTGATTGTGACATGATTTACACTAACATCCAATTGAAGATAATCATTTGGGCTCACAATATAAGTCACTGATGCTTGCTAGTAGCTACATACATTCATATACTAGAATCTGTCCTCTGCATGATGAAGTAGAATGTCCTGGCATTGTGTATTTTTCAGTTTTATGAGGGACAGTTGTTCCCTGCCATGCATTTGCCATGGCAACACCTTCACCAATCTGCAAATTTCCAACCAGTTAGCACTTTTTTTCTAATGTAGTTTAAGTTGTTCCCCACTTTAAAATTTGCTGTTCTTGCAGATGTCCTGTGAATGCAAGATGAAAAGTTTCAACTAACTTGAAGTTTTTTAGCCACAAATTGTTCATACGTTGTAAATTACTTGAGTGCATTACAGTTGTTCAAAAAGGTATTTGAAGAGCATATACTCTCTAAGTTGTAACTTGAACCTTGATTGTAACAATTTCTGTGAACTCAGATGAATAAATGTGGCACACAAGCTCCAGTTTGGCTTTCCCTTGAAGACTCCAACTCGTTGCCTCATCCTGGTGAAGTAAAGAAACTTACAGCCTGCGCTACGTGGCAGTTCTTCATGGGCAGCATCAAAGACTGCTGTTTATTTCGGATCCCTGTATCTCTTAGGAACTGTGGGTCATTCTTTGTTTATTACCTTCAACCTACTCAGGGATGCATGGGCTACTGTGCTACTGAAGGTTAGTAGATAAGTTATCAAAATTTTTAACCTGTTCAGTACTGACTATCCAGTAAAGATTTTAAAAAGTACATATTTGAAGATCTAATTGCAATTTGGTATCTTAGAAGTTTCTAAGATATAATTAACTTTATAGATATAACCACACATAACCTCACATAAAGTAATTTAATTGAACCAAAACTTTTCTTATTTTAAAGCATGTCTGAAGTGTCTGAAAGAGAGTCAGACTACTGGGACCAGTATTCGGGCAAGGATATTCATCTGCCACATGCTAAATCATAGTAAAGAAGGCCACTAGATGAATCATTAACCTTAGGACCTATCTCCAAGACAAGGCCTATATATTATCAAAACAATATTTGACTTGTCATGCTGTCTTCTTTGAAGCAGTTCAGACTATGTTATCATCTTAAGCTTCCAAATTTCCATTAGGATCCACACACTGTACACCCTTTCAGGTGAACATAAAAGATGTGGGAAAAGAACAGGGGATTTGTAACAAAGAAAAGAAAAGAATTTGCTGGAAAAACTCAGCAGGTCTGGCAGTATCTGTGGAGAGAGAAAAACAGAGTTCATGTTTTGAGTCTGGGTAATCTTTATTTGGAACTTGTCCCTGGTGTACTGGCCAATATTTATCTTTGGTATCAGTATCAGTTTACACAGATATTATCTAATCATTGTCCATTGGCCTGTGTGGAAACTTGCTGTTACCTATATTACATCAGTGACTTAAATCCTGAAAGCACTTTGGGATGACTGGAAAAGTACTTTATTCTTTCTTTTTCTGGCTCTTTCTTAACAATGACCAAAGATGAAGCCACACAACAAAATTTAGAACTAATAATTGCTTATTAACCACAGAAAATAGTGAGAAATAAATAAACATTGAGTATGCAGATAATTAATAGATGGCATAGGAAAAAAGGAGCAGGAGTAGGCCATTCAGCCCTTTGAGCCTACTCCACCATTCATTATGATCATGACTGATCATCCAATTCAGTAGCCTGTTCCTGCTCTTCCCCCATATGCTTTGATCCCTTTGGCTCCAAGTGCGATTTCCAATACCTAAATTATGCAAAATTTTGGCCTAAACTGCTTAACTCCACAGGCTCACACTCTCTAGTTGAAGAAATTTCTCCTCATCTCAGTCCTAAATGGTTCACCTCATGTCCTTAGACTGTGACTCCTGGTTCCGCCATCAAGAACGTCTTTCCTAAGTTAATTGAGTAAATAGACAAGTCTTATAAGGGCATTTCAGAGATACCAAAGTATTTATCCTATAACGCCGTAGTTGCGTTCTTGTGTGACCTCGCACTATAGAAAATCGCCATAGGAAATCACGTTATACGGAAATCACGATAGAAAATTGTTATACCTGTACAGCAGAAAGTTTGCGTTATCCAAATAGCATTCACTTTTCATCGATCGTGTTATGGCCAATTCGCGTTAACGAGACATGCGCGATAGCAGACATGCCTGCAATTCAGCATTTGTTACATGCTAATTTATATTAATTTACAATTGAGAGTAATATCTAAAATTGCTGTCTAATGATTTGACTCCTTAGATGACTGATAATTTAACACTATTACAGAGGCTGTCTTTTGAGTAGTTTATAGACTGTTTGAAATCAGATTGCTTGTATGTTACCAGAGTCATTAGACTTCCCAAGCGGTGTCTGTTGGACATGAGCACACTTTGAAGTACCTTGCATTAGACACCTCTCGTGAGAGCATGTATACATTGACCAGCTTATGAAAATATGAAGAGCTTACAGATAATTACCTTAATTTAATGGAACTGGGGACATTTTGAAGCCCAAGGTTCCAGCTAATGCTTTCACATGTTGAACTGATTCTGCAGCAGTAAATATCCCACAAGTGATAATTGACTACTTACAATTTAGTTGCTGTTTGATTTTTGTTTTGCTTTTTCTTCAATTTCTATGAATGTTATTGCTTTTTCCACTTGCGTGGTGATGTAAATGCCAATAGAAATGGTGAGCTAGCTCCTTAAGGGCTTTTTGCTGATTTTGGGCTTTTGCACATGCCAGTTGCTTCTGGACATGGTATACTGGTAGATAGAGCTGAAAGACTGGAAAGAGGCTACACACAGCAGGGCAAACTGCTGGGCGAAGGACAAAGAGAGTTGTCTGAAGGAGGCCATTTCTGTCTGGGGTTTTCAGGGATCAGTTCTCTGACCTTGATTTTTATTGTTATTATCATTATCTGAATTTTAACAAGGAACAATATGCCAGTTCTTTGTGTTCTATTTTGCAGCCACAACTTTAATATCAGAGCAGCTGCTAGGGCATGAACCACATTCTCAGTAGCTGTGGGATAGCTGTAGGATTGAACTTTTATACGTCAGAATTTCTTTAGGCTGGAACTGGAGATATTTGCAATACTTTGTATTTCACCATCCATTGTTACATAAGAGAAGGGTGCTCAGTCCGAGCAAACTACATTTCCTCGTCTCTTTCCCAAGAGCAATAGACAGGGCAGGCATGTAGCTTCATTAAGATTGCAGGTCTTGCTATGTTGCAGAGTGGTATAGACTGTATGCACATCCCTATTGCATGTGCCTCATGCCAACTTTGCCCTGTATGGGAATTAGAAGGGATTCCAATCTCTCTATGCCCAGCTGGTGTGTGACCATGCACAAAGAATCCTATCTTCAATGACCAGTATCTTGACAGCTGTTATGATACCTTCATTTTGCAGAAGTGCAATATGTCTACTGTATTTAAACCTGTACAATTACTGTGAAGTTGGTTACTGGATGATAAGGCTGTTTGCTGACCAAAACCTAATGACTAAGGTACACAAACCATGCTCATGTGGGCAACCTATAGCAATATAAACCATGGTGCAAAACAAAATGTGATAAAGTAAGGTGTTTCAATAATAATTCCACTACTTGGATGGCTCTTGAGACCCTACAGAAGAGTAGGGTCTCAAAATTCAGTGCATCAGTGATGGTTGTGCAATATATTTGGTTGTTCTGGTTGTCATGATTATATACCTGGTAGTGAAAGAAAGCTATGAGATGCGAATGTGAGGCTTGCAGCAGAGCTAAGTCTGAGAGGATGAGGGAAACATCACAATGTTGGGTATGAGTTCTGATTAATAGAGATTTATTATCAAAAAATGACTGTTTATTGAATGGGTTGAAGGTTTTTTGTTACAATAAAAGACTCAAGTGACTGAAATAACAGGTTTCAAAATATCTGAACATTTGCATAAAACCATCTGGCAATTTACAAAATCATCAGAAAAGAATTGGGCTGGCTCAACAATTAAACAACATCAGAGATAAACAATTAAAACTTAAATGAGTCTGAATAATCTACCTCCTGAACCATTTGCAAAGCATCCACTGCTAATCCTTAAACATCTGGAAAGCCTGTGTCTTCAGGTGGGTGTGGGTCAAGCTGTTGACTCGATCACTTTGGACAATAGACTGCGTGGTCATGTAGAGTAATCACTACTTTAAACGATGAATCTGGAATGGGGATTTCTCACTCTGCTATGACTATTTGCTAACTGGCCACTTGAACTGTATGATAAGGAAACTGATCCTTTGTGTACACAGAAACTGGGTCAGTCATGAGTAGGAGGAGAGAGAATTGGCAGTTGCTCCCTGTCACACTCTCAGGCATGTGCCCTGCCTCCGTTCTGATCAATCGAACCCCTCAGGCTGTGTTGCTGAAGTAAAGCAAACAATTGCTGATTCCATGGGATAGAGACTGAGATCGCCCAACATTTTAAATCATCTAGAATCAGAATTTGGAAATATAATCAAACCCAGCATTAATCCACCCAAGTCATCAATTTACAAGGTCTATAATATGATTAATTTTGGGATGGAGTGCATTGAGTATAATTTCCTAGAGCAACGTGTCATGCTGCTAACCAGGGAGCAGGCTATCTTGGATCTGGTAATGAGGGAAGTTTAATAAATGACCTCCAAGTAAAAGATATTTGAAGAGATAATTCATGACTGTCAGCAAAAATACATCCCAGTAGGGAGGAAAGATTCTAAGAGAGGCATAAACCAACTGCGGCTAACGATGGAAGTTAAGTAGAGTATAAAGTTGAAAGAAAAAGCACATATGGAGGCTGAAGACTGGGATAAATTCAGAATCCAGCAAAGGAGGACTAAAAAGATAATGGAGAGAGAGAAAATAAACTATGAGGGCAATCTAGTGAGGAATATAAAAACTAACAAGAGCTTCTTTAAATTAATAGAAAGGTAGAGAGAGGTCAAAGTGAACATAGAGCCATGGAGTTAAAGGCAGATTTTGCATCAATTTTTATGGTGGAAAATACTTCAAACATTTCATTTGTACTAAAGAATACAGGGGAGGAATTAAATATGACCACCATCACTAAAGAAATAGTGTTAGACAAAATAATGGGGCTAAAGGCAAGGAGTCCCCTGGTCCTGATTGCTTGCATCCTAGGATTCTAAAAGAAGAAGCTACAGAGATGATGGATGCATTGACTGTAATTTTCAAAATTCATTGGATTCTGGAGAGGTTCCAGAGGATTGGAAAATTGCTGATGTGACACCACTTTGTATTCAAAGAGGGAAGCAGGCAGGAGATTGATTAGCCTAACATCCATTGTTGAAAATGTATTGGAATCAATTACTGAGGAAGTGATAGCAGAACATTTGGAAAGTCATAATCTAATCAAGCAAAGTCAGCATGGCTTCATGAAAGGGAAATTGTATCTGAATAATTTATTAGAGTTTTTTGAGGAAATCTCAACCAGTGATAGAAGTCAACCAGCAGTGTTGTACTTCGACTGCCAGAAGGTATTTGACAAGGTACCTTACAAAGGGTTGAGCCTTATGAATTAGAGCCCATGCTGTTGGAAGTATTACATTGGTGCAGACAGAAAATTGGCTAGTGGGCAGGAAACAGTGGGATAAGGGGTTCTTTTCAGATTGGCGACCCGTGAGAAGTCAGGTTCCACAGAGATCAATGCTGGG